TTGACAACCACCCATATAATTCCCTCAACCCTAAACCCTAAAGCCTTTTAAGATCAAAATCCTTAAACACCAACCCAGGTTCTCGACAAGCACAGCACGATGCAACGTCTCTTCGAGCTTCTTATCGGCCTCGAACTAGGTACAGTAGGCTCTAAGGGATTTGGAACCCCGGGGAACCCCAGTAGAAGTTACAATTTCAGCTAAATATTAGGATTCTAGGTAACAGAAATTAAAGATATTTTCAGGAACCTTGTAGCAGTAGGTACATTGAACTAGGTAGGTACATTACTGGCTTGCTGTTGAGCAACTTAGATTCAATGACCATGATATGGATATATGGTAAAGAATAAGGTTTCCTTATTATGCGACTTATAACTTAAGCTCCTTGACAGCAACCCAGACTAGGTAGGTACATCAGGAAACAGTAGTGCTATCTATAACAGTAACTGTGGGGTTACAGGATTTACCCTGGCGTGATCCCCATCATAGTAACTATAGGAATATACAATCAGTTATAATGTGGATACAACACCCCTACACCCTTGACCCTAAACCGCCTGTTGTCCTAGCTGCGCCTTGAAACTCCTAAACCCCGAACCCTAGACCTTCTGGGTTGGCCCTAAAGCCCTTTGAAAAATATTAGTATATAGGGTCCCTAAACCCTAAACCCTAAACCCGAAACCCTATATTTCAGGGGCCTACCTGGCCTTGAAACTCTCCTTGATGGCTGCGCCGTAGCCAGAGAACTTGGAGCTTCGACCATCTCCGGTCTCCAGGACCTCCACAGTTACTGTGGGGTTCAGGGTTCTAGGATTCTAGGGTTTAGGGTTTTAGGATTTAGGGTTTTGGATTAAGGGGTTGGGGTTTTAGACCCAGGCGTTTGAGGGCTTAGGGTTTTATGGGGAAGTGTTCGGTGCACACGGGGAATAGACAGGCGTTATATGAGGATATACAGTGGTTATATCAGAATTACGAAGTTATCACAAGTTCAGAACATGAAACTGAACCACTTTACTTTGGGACTACAGTCTATACAAACCGCCGAGCCCTCTGCAGGCCATAGTCTAAACTCCTAGTATCCCCCTTAATAACCCTATAATACTCCCCTATATAATCCCCCATCTAAATCCGGTTAAGGAGTTTAGACTACGGCTCATTTAGGGTGAGGTCCTACTTTGCCCAGCCTTGACGCGATTCTCCAGGGGGAGGTTCGGGTCGTACTTGAGGTCCAAAATGCCCCAGAAGACGGCAGGATTTCTTTGACCCCGCTCTGTCCCTTCGGCCTCTTTTGGACTGGAAGCTTCAGGTGGAGGCTGCTCCAGAGAACTCAGGTCTATAGCTTTTGTATGGTCCTGAAGCTGTGTGGTTGTGAATAATGACCCCTGTATGGCAGAGACCCATCCATGATCATCATACATAGCCTGTGGACCAGCAGCCATACCTGAGAACAAGTTGCGGACGCTGCATAGGAGGACTTTGCTCCCCAGCCTACCGAACAAGCCCGCTGCACTCTCGGCTTCTGCTTCACAGCGCGAAGTGAAGGCCACGACTGGCTTGTCTCGGGTGGTGATTGCCAGGAACTCAGCGAGCACAGGCATCCATCGAGTCAGGCGCTCATCTGCGTGCAAGCAGACCACCAGGTCCGGCTTGCTCTTCGGCGGTTCTGCAGACACGCTAACGGTGACCCGCCTTCCCGGTGGAATGTTGGCCTCCTCCACGTCACCAAGTAGGTGCAGGTTCATGCGCACAGTCTCGCCGCTGAGGAGGCCTGCGGCGTCTTCGCAGTAGCCCTGCCGGGCGAGCCAGCCTTCCTCCCCATCACGCGCCCCCAAGATCCAGACGTTCAAAGGCGCCCGCGTGGCTTCCACTGCCGACCAAGCTTCCCCAGCGGCCCCAGCGCTCTTCGCATACTCCCTCAGCATCATGTCCAGGAAAGCCACAGTACGAAAGCAGGCACGCTTCCGTCGCTCGAAAGGTGCCAAAGCCGCATGATGGATGTATGCCACGGTAACGGAGGCTGGCATTGCTCTGACCGATTGCCTGCGCGGCGACCGTGCCTGCTTGTTATCAGCCACGGGACCCATCCAAAGCACGTACTGGTACGAGCCTAGCAGCACGCTCATCTGTTCCAGCGCGGAGATGACTTCCAGCTCTCGCAGCACTTGCGAAAAAACGCGCAAGCCGCCATCACCGTGACCTTTCTTCCGCAGTATTGGCCGTGCGCTGCGGCACATAAGCTTGCTCATGTCCCTCACCATTTCAATGATGTTGGCCTGCTTACCCGCGGCTCGCTCCAGCTGTTCCTCAGTCTTGCATGCCAAGATAGTATCCAGCTGAGTCTGAACCGACTCTGTTGCAGCAGCGTTCAGCAGGCCATTCAGGAGATCGACCAGTGCCATGACCTCCAAATTCCCTGGAACTCTAGCAACGATCATTTCAGCTGGAAATTAGGATTATGCATAATAGAAACCAACAAAAAGTACCCTTAGGGAACGTCTAGTGAACCGCACAAGCCCGAACCTCCAAACACCTCAAGCCTACATAGCCCTATACATCCCTATATATCCCTCTATATCCGTAGATCTCCCTACTTCCAGTAGCCTGAGTAACCTGTGCCGTATCTCTAAACCCTCAGCCCTACATCCTAAACCCTTACCTGTGCCGGATTGTTCGGCGGTGGTCTTGCCGGCACTTCAGCGGGCCAAACGTCTTGCACCATGCGCAACCAGCTTCGTTTCTGTTCCTTTCTAGCCCTTTAAGGACATATGAGGAGTTTATGTTATACAGGGGTCATATAGGGTTATATATATATACCTGAGAGTATACATATATATATATAGAGAGAGAGAGATGCGTGTATATACATATATATATATATGGGTCATAAAGGGATTCTAGAAACACAATGATTTCAGAGCCTTACACTAGGCAAACTGGGAACTGTCTTCCATATGAACCACTTGGGCCCTACCCAACTGTTAATGAGTAGGGGGAATTCCCAACAAACCACCCCTAAACTCTAAACCCTAAACCTCATCCCTAAACCCTAAACCCTAAAGTCTAAACCCTAAACTTTGGGTGAGAACAGGTGAGGCCGCCATAACTTGCCCAGTCCTTCGGCTTCTGCGAAGCTGGTGCAGGTGAAGGCGCACTTGGCGCGACCTCTGTTGTATGTAGGGTTTACGGTATAGGGTTGAAGGTTTACAGCTTTTTAGGGAATTCACAGGGGGACCACGCACCACAATAACCAAAAACAACTTGCCTGGATTTGTGCCAGCAACTGTCGATCTTTGCGGGGGACTGGTTTTGGGAGGGGGCTTGGGGGCCTGCTGGACCACGGGCGCCACGACATTGCGTGGAGGAAAATTTGCCTAGTTGCTGAATTTCCTTGCCCAAAAGTGGTTGAACTTTTCAGGTATAGGCCTTAGGACCTTGGTTTGCGCTTAGGGATCTAGGAACCCTAAACCCTACACCCTAAACTCCCAGAAGGCAAAAGGTTCTCCACTCAGCTACCAAGTTTGCTTTGGGCAGCGCGACGCCGCTGGGCTTACTTTCAGCCACGCGCCCGGCGTCAACACCTCTTGCCAGATACTTCTGCACAGGGCTGGCTACTGGCACCTTGCTGGGAGAGTTAGGGTACAAAGTAAGGAGGTGAATGATGGGGAGAACTGGGGTAATTATGTGGGTCGTTGAAGGTCCTAAACCCCTAGTAAACCTTGAGCCCTAAACCAAAAACCCTATAGTAGCTTCCATTTTCTTATCCATTATTACTACCACTTCCTACCTTGTCCTTCTTTGGGACAATGGCCCCCCGCAGAAGCATGTCGCGACTTACCTTCGAAGCATCGTCCAGCGTAACCATCAGGCCATTGGCGCGTCGACCAAGGACTTTGGCCTCAAATCCACATGAGCTATAGTCTAAAGTCCTGGTATCCCCCTTAATAAGCTCTGGTATAAGGTTTAGAGTTTAGAAGGCATAGTCTAAACTCCTGGTATGCCCCTTACTATCCTCTATAATAGTCCCCTATATCATCCCCTAATAACCCCCCTGTAGGGAGTTTAGACTAAAGCTCATATAAGTGTGAGGCTGAAGGTTATGCACGGTGCCTGTAAAGGGATTAGGGTTTAGGGTTTGCCGTTAAAGGGATGATTAGGGTTCGGGCTTATGCATAGGGATATGCGGGGAATGGAAAGACAATGGAAACGACAATACTATCTAAATGTTTATCGCCACGATGCTCTCGATTGGCATGACTTCCGGGGGAACTACAGGCCAAAAAATCTTCAACCCCTAACCCCTAAACCCTAAACCCTTTAAAAGCACTTCTGCTGAGATCTCGGTCACATCAACTGACAGCGCAAGGCCATGCTGTCTGGTCAGTAGTTGCTTGAGCTCCGCCACGCGCATATCACTGGTCACCTCCACGGCGTTTTGTTTTTGAATCTAGTAAGATAATATTGCTGTTAAGGAACTAGGGTTTAGGGTTTAGGGTAGGGATTATCCCCCTTAATAATGGAGAATCAGATGGAAAAGACAATGGAAAATGAAATGGAAACTAGGATTATATAGGGGATTATAGGGGTTATAGTGGTTGAACCTAGTAAGATTATGCCAAAAGGAGGATATAATCTTACTCTGTATTGGGTAGCATAGTATCCCCAAAATACTACTCACCTGCTTTGAGGGTCAGAGGGACCTGGTAAGTACACTTATAAGCACTACAAGCCACATAGTACCACCCCAGCTATCCCCTAAGCCCTAAACCCTAAACGCACTTATATACTAAGTTCCCTGACCCTCCAAGTGAGAGGTGATATTCTTGGAGGACAACCTTCGACGTGGGTAGGTACTCCCGCACGAATCGCGTATAACGATCGTATCGAGTTTGATTGGGATGTATGAGGTCTACATAGGCCTTCTCCAAAGATAGACACCTCATAACTATGCACCAGTGGGGGCGGGTCCCTTCTACTGGGGTTATACAAGGACTTCAAGGGTTTACGGTTTAGGGTGGGGCTTGTCTTTGGGAATCAAATAAGATCATATTCTTCTAGAAACAAACTTGAACCAAGAGGTGGAGTCTGGTCTTACTTCAGTGTTTTGGGGAGTATAGTATCCCCAGTTCCTTGAGATACCACTTGGCTTGTATTGGCTGTTTTGTACGGGGTAGGACTAGGCTTAGGTTTTGAAGTCTAGGTATTGAAGCTGACGTCATTGGATTCAGAAGCCTCCAATCGTCCGGACAAACCCAATGAGTCGCTTAACTTAAAAGCCTCAAATGCTGATGAACCCTATATACATCCAGCTTCCCATTCTCTCTTGCAGTAGATTAACCACTATCTGGCCATGACCCTAAATCCCTGAACGCCCTGCATAACCGCAATTTCAATTTACCTTCAACATGTACTTTTCATGATATAGGAAATTGACCCTCTAATCACATTGCCCCTATATCACCTGCTCTAAACTCTAACCCTAAACCCAACACACATATACGGAGAAGCGGGGGAGTACCCTGAGGTGCCTTTAAAGGGGTTGTAGGATATCCCTGACCCAGACCCCATAAAGGATCCAAAAAATGGAACCCCCTAATTCCCTAGTTTCCCAATGCAGTAGTGGGTTCATATTGCGGGGGTTCCATTTTTTTGGATCCTTTACGGGGTCT